CCAAACTGCAGCTCAGGTACGCCGGAACCTCCACCACGGCAGACAGGAAGCAGCTGATGTACGGATCTGAGTGGAGCTGTGATGTGTTCAGGGACAGGCCGTAGTAGCAGATGCTCATGCTGAACCTGCAAACGTGACAGTTCGCCGTCAACACTTGGCTATACAGTAGTTGCGGTGCTTTCCTGTTGGGTGTGAACTCACCACACCCAGCAAAGGAGGCTGGTTGTCATGATAGTGCTTCTTTTCCTCAGCAGGTCTGAGACAGTGTAGTGCTCCACTGGCCTCTTCTCGCCTGCCTAAAACAAATTGAAGGCCTTAATTTTATCCGCTAGCTACTCACCACCTGCCGCTAGCATCTTTTAATCAACGAGTGAATGTTTTTCATGCTTTTTTTTTGTGTGTGTGTGTGTGTGTGTGTGTGTGTGTGTGTGTGTGTGTGTGTGTGTGTGTGTGTGTGTGTGTGTCATTGCCGTTTTATTTTTTATTTTTTTCGTCATTGTACGTAGTTTTCATATGATCTCCAACCCGGAATATCTGGGATAGTTAGCTATTGGCAACTGCCACTACCGTTGACTAACCAAAGGTTTGTTTTGTTTCATTTTGTTTTGACATTGGTGTTTGTCATATAAGGACTACAGTATACGCATTGAAATTTACGACGGCAGTTCGACATGCCTTAAAGAGCTCCTATCGAGTTACTATAGCAACCGACCTCGTTCATGTGAAGAGAACGTGTCTTAGTTACTGTTACACTGGCCTGCACTGTTTCCGAGCGACTAGTAAAGAACCTCTGTTAAACACAACTCTCTTGAGTGGACATTTTCAATAACATTACAGTGTTCTTATTCGCTGTCCTGCTTTGAGTATCTTCGTGGCAGCAAAAGTCAAACTTGCTTGCAATTTGGAATCGTCAAAGATCTTCTCCGGTGCGACCACTCGGTTCATCTTGGCGGCTTTTCTCACGATGGCCTCGGCTTCCATCACTCGACCTTGAGACAGCAGCCACATGGGAGACTCTGGGAGTACCCTGTCACACCCAAACAAACACACACACACACACATCCATACAAGTACGCACACAGACACACGCAAACACACAAATGAAAGATGAAAACAAATGAATGAATCAAAAAACAGAGAGATGACAATTCTACTTTAGTCCAGCAGTACTTGTACAGTATTTGTACTACATTACAAGTCCTTGTGCCTACCACCACAGGGGAATGCAGATGAGACCCGGCACGCCGATGGCCACCAGCAGCATTTCCCAAGTTCGGATGAAGTAGGCGAAGAGGGGAAGCATCATGTAGCCCAAGGTGAAGCCCAGACACACACCCGTCGACGAGTAAACTACCCGAGCGTTGCCCGTGAGGATTTCTGTGCCTGTGCCAGCAAAAACAATTTGTTTGAATTTTGTATGGTCAAATCTTTTGGGTCATTAGGAGCAATTACAACCCCCCACCGACCCACCTACCACCCCATCTGAATTGTGCTTTATTTCACCATATAGCGAACAAGCTTTTCAACAGTTTGTTCCCCCAATGCTGTAAAATATTATACCCATCACATAGCAGGATACGTAGTTGGAGATATTGCCAAGACCGTTGCAGAAGAGAAGAAAGCAGAACACCTCCCAAGTTGGCGCAGCAATCTGGACCAACGTGAACACGGCCTGAATGATTATGGTGGTGAACAACACCGGTTTACGGCCAAACCTGGAGGAAAATGAACCAAAACACTCAGTCTCAAAGAATTACCTTGTACATAGTTCCTTTGAATTCTAAATCCCCGGTATGTATGCCTACTTGTCAGAGATCACTCCGGAGATGAAGGACCCTCCCAGGACCCCCAGGAAGAAAATGGTGGTGGTCAAAGGTTGTTTCCAACGGTGGCCACACACCAAGTCGTACTGGAAATGCAATTGACAATGTCACTCCACCGAAGCCCTTAAAAGTCATCAACTCAGTATCACCCCCCCGACCCTCCACATTTTAAAGATGTACACGTCTATATGTGGGAAAAAAAAAAAAAAAAGTGACCTGGGAGACCACGGTGGACTGATAGATCTCGGTGCTGTAGACCCAGCCGTCGACACAGTCCTCCTGTTGGAGACTGCTCAGGTTGACGTCGCGGCCCGGCAGCAGCCCGCCGGCAGAGAGGTTGCGGAGCACGTCCAACCTGTAGCGGCTACAGCGGCTTGGCTGCAGCTCCCCGTCCACCACCTACCAAAGTACAGACACGAAAACCTGAATACGTTGGTGTAAATGCTGAGACACGGGCATTCATGCGTTATGGCTGAGCATTCATTTTGTATGCGAAACAGAATCAGGGAAAAACGTTGTGAGATCAGGATTTATATGAACAGCAATACAAAAGTTCATACAATCCAGCAGCTTCATTTTCTAGTGCGGATGCTAAGAAATCAACATTCGTTTGTGTAACCAAAACATGTTCACATCAGGTCAGGAGGTATTTTGTTTGAATTCATACAGTTTTTATGTGAATTCTGAGCAACACACATTTACATCTTAATATTGTGCATCATAACATGGATATTGCTTCCTATTCTTTGTGTGAATCCTGAGATAAACATTCATCAAACTTGCCATAACTGCCTGAAAGGAAGATTACACGATTTATACAGGATCCGGCAGGGTGATGTGTTACATTTAGCGCAAAAAAAAAAAAAAAAACACAGCACATTTTTAACCCCGACCTTCCTGAGGATAAGTGATTCGTATAATGGATGGTTGGCATTTAAACAGGGAGGGGTGTGTAGACTTTTTCTCTACACTGTAACCACTGAGAGGACGATCCATCCATCCATCATCCGAGCTGCTTATCCTCCATTTTTAACAAAAAAAAAAATACATCTTCTAGATTACTTTTTTTTTTCTCTCTTTGAACGCTGAGAGATAACCCGAGTAGTTGTGTACCTCCAGAGGTACTGCAGCCTGCTGCCACTCCTGGCTGAGGTTAGCCTCGGGGATCCGGCATCGGTGCCGGGGCGTATCGGTGAGGAACACAAACGAGAAGGAACCCATCCCGTTGGGCAGGATAGTGAAGCAGAGCAAGAAAAAAATAATCAGCTGGAAGCGACCCCACGTTCCCAGAAAGGCCACACTGCTATCATAGTGCTGCATGTCCGTGGAACTTCTACGGGGGAAATATCCAAGCAACTTGTCGAGAACATGTCATACAACGTAAAATGTAAGGTGGATCGCCCTGGTCTGGTAATGATTACGAAAGACAACCAACCTCCAGAATGTAAAGAGCCAACTCAGCCCCCACTGTCATATAGTACAGGTGAGGAGACTCATTTATTGGAAGCCGTGTTTAAAGTCCACAGAACACAGGCTATTGTGATTCTTGTGTCAATTGGTGTCAGGGAAAAAAAATACAGCTTCCCAGCTGTTTAAAACCATTACCTTGAAGCAACCCCATAATTCCCAGGAACTCCACGCAGCTATTGTAAGTTTTTTGAGGAAAATGTACAAACGCACAGCGATGGCAGTTACTTTTTTTTTAGCGCTGCCTAAAGCCGTCACTGTTAAAACCCCTTAAAGTTAGGAGGGCCCCGCCAAGGGCCCTCCGTCATCTGTCAAAACAAATCGCTGATGCATGTCGTCATGTGTGAACATGTTATACATCTTTTAAAAGCTGAGTTTCTGGAGATTTGAATGGTACCCTAAATGTTACAATTGTCAAATCTGAACCGAAGCTTGGGGAGACTTAAGCTTTGATCCTGTAGTGTTTTCAAGTCCTAATCAACATTCTAAATCCATTTTCAAGGCAGATATTGTGAAAAGAAATTAGACGAACATAAGAATCGCCTTTTTTGTCTGTTTTCGAACATCCATGGTTCAGTGACAGGAGCAGATTACACAGATTCTTACTGTATTGGAGAAATATTCATAATAATAACATTTTGAATATTTCAAAAAGAGACCAAAACTTTGCTGATACTCCAAATGGTTGAAGAATAGCTACAAATTTACTTTGGGTGCACCTTTCCATAGGCGTTTTTTGCAAAGTTGCCCTCGGTTTAAAGGGTTAATCGGGCAGGCCTATACTAGAGATGATTACAGTATCGATAACAAACCCCGCCCTCCCCTCACACCGTGTTCCTTGTTTAGTACATGTGAGGGGACTCATTTAGTTATTGTACCATGCAAGTTTAAAGTCCACAGAACAAAGGGTTGTTGGGGCTCTTTGATTGCCTGTGTCAGGAGTTGACAAAGATGGAATATTTTCAACATCTCAGTCATGAAGATGTATTGTACTTTCTGTTCAGTATGAACAGACAAACATGAAAGGGGAGGGGTGGAATCCACCTGCACTTGCGTTGTCCTTACACAAGACGGTGCTGTTTGACGCCAGGTTTCTTTTGGCCCTCTCTGGGCTGTTGACGTATTAGCATAACTAATTAATTGAATTAATCACTATAACAACTAATTAATTACATTTGAATAATAGCATTATTTCTTGTTTTTATTATGATGTATGATGTAATTCACCATAATATTTACTAATCAAATGAATGAATGTTATGAGTATTATTTACAATTTAATATACTGTATAGACTAAATGAAAATGCATGGATTAAATATATATAAATATCTATACACGCTATTAATTTATCATTAAAAAAGAAATTTTACACATGTGACACTCATATGTTCATTTTTATTATTATTTTTTAAACTTCATCCTGAAATGATATGGCCCATCTGTCTCTTTGAATAATCCAGTGCGGCCCTTGAATACTAAAAGACTGATCCACCAAATTTGCTGACTTTGTTTTCCCCCTTTTAATCTCCATGAGTAGAAGAAAGAATTAAGAACCATTCCATGGTGAAAAAAGGTTTTAAAAGATTTATCTCGGTGTCCTTTTTTTCCGATGACAAAAAAATATGAATTGAACAGGGGTGTGCGTACACTTTTTATACTCACTGTCCGTCTATGACGCAAATATAGACCTCATTTGTATAAAGGGGAAGCTCATCAGAGTAGCTCATCGCAGTGCAAGTGTCCTTTTGTCTCTCAACAGTCGTGCACGTCCCTTCTTTGTCCTTATCATCATCACATTGTGATGGAGTACAAGGTGGTGGAGAACATCTACCTGCTGGTGATCGTCACCCTGGTCAGCGTGCTACAGAATGGTGAGCGCCGCTTGACAATAAAACTGATTATTTCCTGATTTGTTTCATTAAAAAAAAATCTTTTTCAAGCTTTCTTTGCCCTCAAAGTGGAGAAGGAGTGCAACACACCTGCTTTCGAACGAGTATCCTGCGCAAAGTAAGCCCTGCTAAATTAGCATTTTACTACAACTACATGTATTCAAGTAAGCTTTGTATTTAGATTCAACTTTCTTGGACCCTTTGTGTCTAATTTAACATTTCAGACACTTAACAAGACTTCCTATTTCTTCAGCGGGAAACAGCTTGTGCCACTTCCTTTGGTGCAAGTGATCCAAATAGATGGCTAAATTCACTTTGGTGAAGGTGTAAAACCCCTTAAGTTTTTTTTTGAAATGTATTCATTTTTTATTGAATATTTTAAGTAGATCATACGTGCATAATGCTAAAACCGATTTTGGGTATGAATTTAATTAAAATTTGATGGAAGCGTGGCCCAGCCACAATGCAAAAAAAAAAAAAAAAAAAAAAAATCAGGAAAAGCCTATTAAAACATCAGAAGTTTATTTTGTGTTCATCAGGGGCATATTAAATGGTGGAAGGCGTGTTTTGACTCCCATTTTATATTAATTTGAATGTGATTGATTAATTCTGAACACAACCACGTCCCAGATATAAGAGGGTGTGCATACTTGTGCAACCACATTATCTCATTCCATTTCTACCTTTTCAAAAAGATTTATTGAGTCGGACAGGTTAGAGGTGACATTAATAGTGAATAAAGTTTTCCAAGGTTTGACCTGACATTTGATCAAGGGTGTGTAGACTTTTCTATAGTCACCCTATAAATAACTGTGAGTTTTATTTTGCCGACTCCCAAGCTACAATCGGCGGGCCCCAGTTTGAAAAAACACTGACTTCAAGTCCACGTTAACTAATTTCCTGTTGGTTGCATAACACGTTATCACTTTGATAGCATCTCGATTGTCATGCTATTACGTTGCACACTCGTGGATGGGCATGTGAGGACACCTGATTCAGAAGAGGGTATGTTTTTTTTTTTTTTGTTTTTTGTTTTTTTTTATGACGACAACATGCTTAGATTGTGTGAAATAAAGCCCTAACATGACAAAATGTAGAAACGGTGAAGCGCTGTCCAAACAATTGTATGCCAAGCTAATTCCCAGCATTGCCTTTGTGTGACTTCCCCGCAGGCGAAACTGTATGGACGCCTATGCCACCTTCCTTGCACTCATGTGGTGCGCCGGCCTGTGCCTCAGCCAAGGTCAATCATTAGCACGTGATATCACAAGCCTTTTGTGTTTCTGTGTGTTTATTTGTGTTTTTATTCACGTGTGGGTATGGGTGTACATGTGGGTGGTTGCATCTGTGCATTTGTGTGTGTGTCTGTGTGTGTGTGTGTACCCACACCTGCGAGTGTTTGTGCATCCGTGTGTGTCCGCATTTGTTTAAAAGTGGCATAAAATATGATTATATGCAAACATTTATGGATGACTCTCCCTACCGGGTGGGCCAACTCCATCGAAGGGAGATAATATTAGAAAACAAGGAAATGGTACACGGCTGCCTTTGCAGTTTCTCTATCGAGCATGAAACTATGTTGGCATCATTTCTCATTTGAATTGATGCTGTAGCCAACAACAGGGTATGACGTAAAATCAATATCAAGCTTCCTTACTGTTGATTATGTTATTGTTTTGCCAACATGAAATTACATTAATAATAATAATGTGTTTTCAAGCTCCAGCTGCATTCGCCGGCGTGGTGTACGTGTTGGTGCGTCACAAATACTTTCTGGGCTACATGGGACAAAGCTCACAGAGGTAATTTTTTTCCACGTTTCCAAAATTCCCACTGTCACCACAGTTTCATATTTTCCATAGAAATGATTCCTGTCGAAATGAAGACACATTTTCTGAATTTAACTTACACTTCAAAAATGTCACCACTTCATTCAAACTGTTGGTCTCATTGGAGAAACGGTTGTGGTCTTCCTGTTTTATTTCCATTTCCATGAAGTACTCCGGGCTACCTGTTTGGCAAACGCATGTTGTTTTTCTTGATGCTGATGTCCGTGCTGGGAATTGTCAACTACCTGGTGGCGCGCTACTGCGGGAGCGACTACAATAAAGATATGCTGGAGACCCTCACCAAGGCCGCCTCCGCATTGCTGCTCATCCCATAGCGGCATTAGCACCAACAAAGACGGACCCCACCAACAAGACCTTTTTTTGCATTTATTTGAACATGCAATAAAAACAAGTATAAATGCAGGGTGTTGACCGAAAAAGCTACAAAGTTGTAATTCGGTTTCCCTCCTCGTGGATTCCCAGGAGGCGGCATCCAATCACAGTGTACAAATGCATCACATCTATTATACAGTATTATGATAACAGTAACAACAGCATAATGAAGGGTGTTGACCGAAAAAGCTACAAAGTTGTGTCAGGTTTATCCAATTTGACACTCAGGAATAAAACACAAGGAGGAGACAGGAGACTCAATTCTGGTACCAGGAGGGAACGAGGAGAAGCGTTCGGTTTCAGTTCTCGCACGTCACACCTCCCGATCTCCCCCTTCACCCCCTTATTTATTGGGAAATCTACTACATAGGTGTGTCCAACCTAAAGGGTGGGGGCTGTTGAAGACACACTGAACTTGTTTGACTATGTGTGTGTATGTGAGTGTAAATTACGTACATCTGTACAGTGCACTAAGCATTCTTGATTATAAATGTGAGTACATAATGATTAATATATTTTTATTAGAAGCATAAGCGTTCTTCATTGCAGGCATAGTCAATTAATGATTGCAGGCATAAGCGTTCATCTTTGCAAGCATAATCAATTTATCATTGCAGGCATAAGCTTTCTTCTTTGCAAGCAAAATCAATCAATCAATCAATCAATATCAAAATAATAATAATAACATTCATAATAAGCGAATGTATGATAACTAAAAATAATCAATCTATCAATAATTTATTCAGCCTCCCATGTAATTAAAAATTTATCCCATCCAATAATGACTTCAAACATTAATGAAAAAGTAGGTCTAGTTGGTTTTTTTAAAGAAAAAAGAATTCCCAGTCCAGACCCCTCTCCATGTGCCATCGGACCATCGGGTCAGCACCACGCAGGCACACAACATAGCGCTTTACAACCTCTGCAGATATCGAACAATGTTTTTTAACGTATTACAGCATGCGTGTAACGCTCATCTTTCAACATTGGCACCTTTGTGTGAGTGCTCGTGCATTTGCACAAAAAAAAAAAAAAAATTGTTTCGAGTGGGTTGCACACGAGGCTTAGCATAGATGCTTGTTTCCAAGCATTTGCCCAATAGGAAAACAAATGATGTATAAATGGACACTTGCACGCATGTAATGTTCATTTCTTAGCATTCGGCATAATACCTGCGCTTTCAGGCATACACGTGGCCACCAGCATATACATGTTTTTGGACAGCAGGTTCCTCCGGAAGTTGCTGTACTGCAACAAGTCTGTCACTGTGATGATCCTGTTTAGTTGTTTGGAGGGAAAAAATAACTTTTATTCTTATATGTTCAAGTCAACATTTCTCACTTTGTTGAAACACAACTTTCATGCTTACAAACATTAACACTTTATTGAAACACTCCTCAGTTATTGATTTAAATGTCACTTCATTGAAACATGACTGTAATTATTATTTTAATCGTGTATCCGTTTATTGAAAAACAACTCTCATTAATATTCTAACACTTATTTAAATACAACTTTAATTCTTCTGTTAAAACACTTCTCACTTGGTTGAAACATAACTTCAATTCTTTTGATTTGACCGCAAATAAGTTGTCACCGAATTGAAACGCGACTTTAAAGGTTATATTTGCACGTAAACATTTCTCACTTTCTTGAAACACACTACGAATTCCGAATATGTTAACATTTCTCACTTTGTTGAAACGCGGCTTTAATTCCGGTATTTGCATGCACACATTCGCCTTAATTGATTTATCCTAACAAAATAAGAGCTCCCAAGCCCTGCTCCAAACAAACCTGCCCAGCGATCCGTGGAAGACTACGCGGCCCGCGGACGTGTCGCAGGGGTCGGCCAGCAGCAGGCTGCTGTCGGCGTCCCCGCGGATGACTGTGTGGAGTGGGGTGCTCTCCCCCGAAAAGCCATTTGGGGGTCGCAGGAGAAAGTGGTGAAGCTCCGTCACTGTGATCCTCTCAAGTTCGGTTGCTTGTTCTTTTCTCATCTTGACCATGTTGTGACGCCTACAGCTCGGCGCCGTGTTGTTATAGCATCATAAAGTTAGCTGTGTGGAGAGCGTGCCGTTTCCGGGCCTTTGACAAAATAAAAGAACATCAAAAAGTGAATCGTGTGTTGATCGAAGAAAAATACAGTAGGCTTTAAAGATTGACGCGGCATTTAGTCTTTACATTGATGGAAATGTCCTTGAAATCCATACATTTTATAGTCTTGTCCAGTAAAGTTTTGAAAAAAAGAGGTAGTTTGAAATGTAAACATTTAACCTTTTGAAAATGTTCCGCTCCAAAAAGTGTTTAATTTGATTAAAGTGGCCTCAAAAAGTGTTTAATTTGATTAATCAGTTTTAAAAAATAACTTCAAGATTTGAATACAGTAAGGCTATATCAAAGCAAGGCCCAGTTGGAGAAGTTAAAAAAAACAACCCTCACATGAACCTGCAAACAAACACTAAAACACACAAAGCTACATGACACTCCTGCACAAAGGTTGTGATTGTTGTGAATGAATGTGTGTCACGTTGATAACATATAGTTAATGCTTACTTTTGTACTCCACTAGGCTGAAAGCTGCTCCTTAGTGTTTTTTTTTTTAAAGCTAGCAAGACTTCAATTGAATGGCTCCAGCAGCCCAGGAACAGGCATCATTTTGTTGAGTCGGGGAGTCACAAAATTAAACAGCGTTTGTCTGTCTGTCTGTCTGTCTGTCTGTCTGTCTGTCTGTCTGTCTGTCTGTCTGTCTGTCTGTCTGTCTATCTATCCTTAATCATGTGTCAATTTCAGGGACAGCGTGAAATCCTCGGAGCATACACGAGTATTGCAACAAATTTTCCAGATAGACTCATTCGACCAGCGAGTCACCAGATGTGACTTGATCTTGTTTAGTTTTTCATTTTGCAGAGTGACGACATTCTCTGCTGTGGCTCCACTTCTGTTTGCTCATGCTGGCCGGCGTTTTGTCTCTGCTGGGGCGCCGACGGTCTACTAGTCACTTGAAGCTCTTGTTTTACTGCCGCCTTTATCTATTTGCACGCCTTGCCCTCAACATTGGAAAATGACTTACCCTCGCTGCTGTGTACTTTCCCACTTGCTAAAAGTACTTTTCCCTTCAACTAATTGAGGAAAACTTTTTTTTTTGTTTCTGTGGTCCAAAGTGCTTGACTCATGTGCTCCAGATTACTGCAAGGCCTTGAGGTTGGTCATTGAGAGACATTTTTGGGCCTCATTTTTCTCGTTTTTGCAAGTCATTACAAGTATTCCTCGTAAAATTACATATTCCCCCCCAACTTATGTTTTTTTTCTTCTAAAATCACTTTTTGTCATAAAACGGCACATTTCTTCTCTTCATTAAAAATGTAATATTTAAAAAAAACAACAACTTTTTTTTCTCAGAAATCGCCACATTTTCTTGTAGATTACATATTTTCTTCCCAAATTCCACTTTTTTTAAATTACAAATTTTTCCTAATAAAATTATGTTTCTTGGTACTCATACAGATTTTTCTCCCAAAATGCAATAGTTCCTTTTTTTAATGACTGTAAAGTTAGTTGTAAAATTAAATGGTTTTGATGACATAACCTCTTTGTGCGTCTGCACGCTTGCGATTAAATAATGAAACAGAAAAAAACCTTACTGTAATAACGCACTTGGCCTTTGCACCCTGCAAGCTATGCTGTGACTCACGTGTGATAAGATGTCACGTTTATGAAGAGTACAAAAGAGTGTTGCAAACAGAGCACATTCCGTATTGATTAGCAAACAGATAGAGCTTAGTGTACCTATTTTTGTGGCCCATTACTGTGGAGTCATAAAGGGAACAACACACAAAGCATTTCTGTTGGGTATATATTCTTCAAATTTTCATGTTAAAAGAAGATTAGAATTTAATGTGTAAGTGTAGGTCACTGCTCCTAGTATTATTATTGTTGTCGGATTGTCTTGTGTTGTGTTTTTCATCTGAGGAAATGTATTCCAATCTTGTGAAACAAGAAGTGTGTAGCACATGTGGTCCTGTTCTAAAATTATGATTCAAGTTGTGTGAATGCTGCTGATAGAGAACTGAAGCCTCTGTTCCACTTCCTGCTTTCTTTCAACATTACAGTTCTGTATTTTTAGCGACCAAACCACAGCCCTCACACCCGCTACGAGTAGGTACACCTGCAAAATTTATGATAACGTTCTTGTATTGGATTTCATTATAAGTGATATAAAGAATGGCTGCTTCCGATAGTGTTGATAAACAAATTAGTAATACTATCTTTTTGAATGCTGTTCTTGGTATGTCATTAGATCAAGTGTAGCTACCTAATGAAGTGGCTGATGATTGATTCTTTATTTGAGCATGATGCAGCAGTACAAAATAATGCTCTCTGAAACTTTTTCAAAAATTCAGCCACTGAAAACTTTTAAGTCAGAAACATACATTTTGACAGTGGGGTTCAGCATGAGAGCCACCAAAAAAGTTTCCACAAAACTTTCACAGGAAGTCAGCCCTTTTGGTTTAAAGCTGCCATTTTAGGGTCAATTTAAGTCATTTATGGGGTCCTTGACTGACTGACTCATCCAAGAGAATTGATCTGATTGCTACCAAATTCGAAGCTTGTATATAAATCAGATGAGTGACAAGAATTTAAAAAAAAAATACTTTTCGGCATTAAGTTTTGGCAGAGCAAAGACAGATGTCTTACTATAAAACAAAATAACTATTAAGTCAACTCCACAAAGTCTTTGACACCAAGAAATTTGGCAAACAGGTTCAGCATAAAGAGCCACACACAAAAAGGTCTCAAAAAGCCACAAACACATTAATATTCACAGAAGGTCAGCCATTTCGATTTGAAGCTGCCATTTCAAGGTCAAGTTGATTTCCAGGGGTCCTTCAAAGCCAAACACCCTACAGAGATTTTGAGGGCCATCGTGCTGCCTGAATACAAGTTAACCCTGTTCTTTGCTTTATATCTAAAAC